TTAGAATGTTCTATTTCTTTTTATGTGTTTTATCATTATTATTTGTTGTGATGCCTGGTCCTTAGAATATACAGGGGCTACGCGGGGACTCCCAATCTCTAGGACCTCCGATATCGAGATATTGCCTCGACGTTCAATAATTGCATTATATGTCTGAGTATCAATCATAATTAGACGTTGTTGGAACTTTCAAACACGACGAGGAATCACATCCTATAACCGGTGTTAGATTGGACAAATTTAATCCCATTCAATACTAATCCCATTTATCCGCATTCAATCATTATAGAATTTTAACAATAAATAAAGAGTAAAAATTTCATATAAATTTCATAATGTTCTTAGATGGCTATTAAATGATTGCTAAATGTTGTTCTGGACTTCAGTGCATCACTACAACGCAAATGTGAGCTTCAGTTCATAGTTAAATGGTGAGTTTTCACTATTTTTTTTATGTCCAATGTTGTGATTCATGGTTTTTGTCATCTGGAGTGTAAACGACCATAGATGTTTTTCATCTCTTTCATTTAATCAGAGCTGGGCAGCGCTACTTTGAAAAGTAGCGGCACTACCGCTACCGCTACATGCCCTAAATGGAGCGGGCGCTACCGCTACCGCTACACCCACTAGATTGTAGCGAACGCTACCGCTACCGCTACCGCTACAGTAAAATGTAACGCCGCTACATTAGTCGCTACAATGGCCAAAATTAATGGAAATCTTTAAATATTTATTGTTCTGCTATTGGGATTTACTCATAAACATTTAATGGCAATAAAACGTTTTCGAAACATATCAATGCAACTTTATTGCAATTAACCTAACCGAACTAGTACGGGCTAGATACAGTAAATAAAAGTTACAGTTATTTTTATGTTTTACCTTCCCTAAATGGATATTATTATTATCCTCAAAAATTATCCACATGTACATATAAAAAATCAGTCTTTTATTTGTATATATATGTGGATTATTTTTGAGATTGGTAGATTAAAGTAGACATCCATGTAGGGAAGGTGAAGCATAAAAATAACTGTAAGCAAAATGAAACATGAAAAAATACCTGAAAGTGGTAACTGGTAACAACTTAACAAGTAACAACTAATATGTTGACACTAGTAACAGGCTGAGGTTGACAACATGACACCGAAATCTTTCGTACAGTTTTATTCTGTAATTTATATTATGTATGTATCATGCTGGTTTTTAAAAAATATTTTTACTATTAAGTAAAATCTAAAGGCTTTATCTATAAATGTAACGGTAGCGCTGTAGCGGCAAAACCTCGTATCGCTACTTGTAGCGCGCTACTGCCCACCTCTGCATTTAATAAACGTTGTTACCCCGATGGCTCAAGGGAAATGTTCAAGTTGTTTTTTATTCACTTAAATTCTATACGTTGCAGTAAATATCACAAGAACCTCGCTTTCACTGTTCAAATTAAAGCCGACTGTATTCCTTAAAAGCTCTTGCGTGGCTTGTGTCTGACGCTCTAAAAGGATGCGTGCGTGTCAGACGGCCGTGCACTACGCACGCTATTCATTTCATTTCTATTTACACCCTCGCCTAAGTGCTTCCCAACAGCTACTGATAACACACCTGTTATCTGCGACCTGCCTCCTAACGAAAACTATTGCGTTCTCTTTACGCACCCCCGAAGTTAGCGATGACTGCCGTAAATAGAACAAGGAGCCGTCACAGACGCCAGTGATTCGAGGCCGCAGACGCTTGGCCGAGTCCAAGCACACGCAAACGAACACTAACACAAGGCTTCTTTATTTCCTCGTATGTCTTCACGGCTCGAGGCAAGAGTACATTTTTATGAGACCAGAACTTGAAAACTTATCCACGTGGCAGTCGAGGAGCATAACACCAGAAATGCGGTAGTCATTAGATTTCTGGTGTGGAATGCCCGTGACTTAGTTATTTTCTGGTTCAATTTTTATTGCCTAATACCACAATACAGTTAGTATAATTGAAAGGGTTCTTGAACAATGTTTCTTGAACAATAAATTATCTGAATTCACACTTTGAGGATACATTACGAACGTTTTAGGGTAGAGGTTCAATAATTGAGAAGCAAGGAACTACTGTTGGTGCGGAATGGCGATTCGTGTGGTACACAATTACTTTCGCAGATATAGAGATTTGAACGAAGTTTTTAATTCACAAAAATGTTTAGTGCCTAGCAATAGATAATCTGGCGATGATGTGTAGCTGTCGCCATACTCCACACATATGACCACATCGTCTTCCCGTTCAATTTAACTACAATCTATTCGTCAATCACAAGCGATTTGTCGGGTTAAATTAAATGAGAACCTGGCGGTGCACGACTACTCGGTGCACATGCACAAGTGGTTCTCTAGCACGAAAATGTGAGTAACACTGCCTTATATACGATCGAAATGATCGAGGTACGGTAAAGTGCAGTATAGAATTATGACAGGTGTAAGAGCATGCTAATACCAGTGGAATAAGTCTCGGAAGCTGTTCTGAAAACTGAAAATCAGTTTTCCAGGGAAAAATGTTTCAGTCCATACCGGAAATTATTGAATCAATGCGTAAATTCAAAGCACAGGATGCACGTCCAAAAAAAATATGTACCTACAAATGGTGGAAAAGGAATGTCCAATGACTGTATTACAATGTCACGGGAAAACATTAAATTCATGCGTAATAAGTTTGATCTGATAAGTTTGATAAGTTTCAAATAGAAGTGATTTTCGACGTAAGTAAAATTTTTATTGTGTGTATCGCTTTAGCAGTCATCGCACGCCCCGCCACCTATGTGAACGATAAATTCTCTAAGCCGTTCCGAATTCTAAATGTAATCGTATGAAGGCAAAATATTTCTTTATCATGATGCATTTCTGAAGCAAAGCATAAAGGCACCAATAGTGACCAGACCATAAAATAATCAAATGTGAATAGTAGCACAGAAATTACCAGGGGTGACCTGACATAGACATAATCAAATATTAAGAGAAACATCAAAAATAACAATACAGACAAGACCAAGACAAGAATCAAACGATAATAGGTACGACAACGTAATATTCATACACTCGAGGGCCAGCACACTTCCTCGAACGTTGGCAGGACTAAATCGCAACCGTTTATTGCCGGTCGCCGGCGCTCCTCAGCTAAAACAAACAGCGACGCAACAGACTTTATCCCTGCTGAGAGCTCAGTGAAGTATGCGACTCAAAGAGCACCAAAGTCGCAGCCTGATTTGCTGTCCTTGTTTGCGGCGAAATATACCGATGAAGAGTAAGTTCCGCTGTGCTTTCCTTTTTAGCGCATTTTCTCATTTATGGAAAAAAGACGCTATTGTGCTCGTCATGTCCGTCCGTCCGTGACTTCATGTCCATCCGTCAATGACTTCACGTATGGACTGACGAGAAAATTCACTCTCTGTCACTCACTGCAGTGAGTACTGACCAATTTTTTTTCGTTGCATGAGCATGGAAGTGCCTGCGTCATTTGGTTTAGACTCGGTAAACCTTGTGATGAGACTTCACTTCTGTAAAGGTGACGATTAAACTCGAACAGTTAGAGCTCATCGGAATTCCAGTGTTTTTGTAGCAATTCATCCGTAAATGAAGTAGATCGTCATATAGTGCAACATAATCATCACCTTCATAATATTACTTTTGTTCAATACCAAGACGCACTTCGATGCGTCCATATTATCGTACCATATCATATGCAGTTACACAACAACCATTTTAGTACTCGTGTCACCTAGAAGGTTAAAAAGTTAAAGTTTAACAGCTACAATGAAATTTTCGTGAAGGAAACTACCTATTAATTAATGGATAAATGAGGTTTTCACGATCTAATTGTTGGTGCAGGAATGAGAGTAATGAAATGTAGCACGTCGCCGTGAGCGGTGGGTGTAAGCAAGACGATGAACATGTATATTATTTTAATCCATGACAACACGACGCTGAATGTAGGACTTACGAACGATTCGCACAAAGCACGCGTCACTTACGAGACGCACAATTTTCGAAAGACGCGCACCACGCATGTCTCAGCGCGCAAAACACGCCCAACACGCACGACACGCCCTCAACGCGTATGCCGCTCGTTTGCAACACGCACGCACATGTCCAACTCACATCCAACGCACGCCATACAGCGAATAATATAAGAGCCTCTTACGATCAAAACACCCGACAAATAAGACACACATGACGCACTCGAAGCTCGAAGTTTCGACGCCGTTAGTGCGTGTCCGTCAGGGCATTCGGATGCGTTATATGGCATTGTCACAACACAATAACGCAGCGTTGACGGTAACGCAACACAATAGCGCCGCATTGACGGTAACGCAACACAATAGCGCCGCATTGACGGTAAAGCAACACAATAAAGCAGCGTTAACGGTAACGCAGCACAATAACGCTGCGTTGACGGTAACGCAACACAATAACGCTTCGTTGACGGTAACGCAACACAATTACGCTTCGTTGACGGTAACGTAACACAATAACGCTGAGTTGTCGGTAACGCAACACAATGACGCTGCGTTGACGGTAACGCAACACAATAACGCTGCGTTGACGGTAACGCAACACAATAACGCTGCGTTGACGGTAACTCAACACAATAAATACTCAAGACTAACAACACATCAAATGCTGCTTCTAAAGCGTGCTGGTGCGACTAAGGCCTCAGGGTTGACGTTGGAAATAAAACGAGCTATTGAACTTTCAGTAGATTGAATCTGAGTGAATGGTATAAAAGTATAAGTTGTAACGTAGAATGAAGTCTATATTTAAGGAGGCTGGATTGTTCGAGCATGTTATTTGATTATGTACGCTTAGTATTCTACTACATACCACCTCAAATTAGACAGACGGCCGGTAATATAATAGCAGCGAAAAACAATGATTGTAAACTGGGAACAAGATGAACACAATATGGTTAGGAGTCATTAATACTTGCGAGTTATACAATGTTATTACGGCCGCAAAACTCAATATCCATACCTTGATGTTGCAGTTCTGCTTTGGGAATTGAGTGATGCGTGGTGATGAACGTAAAGGTGTTCATCCTGCTGCACCTTGTGACCTCACAACGACACTGTCCACCACTGAGCTAGTCACCACTGCACTGACCACCACTGCGCTCACCACCTCTACACTGGCCAACACTGTACTGTCCACTACTACACAAATCACCACTCACTATATAAACCACTACTGCACTACTCTAACTGACCACCATCACAATGGCCGCTTTTACACCGGCTACTACAGTAGAGGCGGATAGTTTACAATTACAGAGGAATGAGCGCACGAAAAACACAGATCATGTCGCGGTTATTTATATACGTCTTTACTAAATTATTTTCTAACTCTGCTCAATAGGCGCTTATTACAGACTCTTGTTTTCCAATGTAAATGATTAGTTTTACATTCTTCAAATTATAAAGACTTTTTTAAAAAGATTAGCTGTGCATTTGCAAACATTAACTATTCAGTTGACTTGAAGTCGGTTCGGAGCAGGCAGTACTAATATATGAACTCAAGGCACAATCGTACAAATTGCCATGCCGGTATGTGTACGTTATCGTTCAGTCGTGAACTAACCGGCGGCTTTCCTATCGTTCATTCATCCACAATGAATGTTCGACTGTTCACTTCACTGCACAGTCACCGCTTGACACACCCTTACTCCTACACTGCCCCAGGCGCACTGCGAGGGCTGGCTTCCCTCATGACGGTTTCCCTCATGCCAGTTCCCCTTTGGACATAGTCAAACTAAACCAAGCATTTTCCGTCATGCAGAATTTATACTCCGTGTGTCTGTTGTTCAGAACATTGCATGATGACTTCCGGCTGACGCCAGGGTGTTCTTTAATAGTTTTTGCCCTTTGGCACACAAGCACTCCACTGGAGACCATTCACTAATTCTTGCTTAACCTCGCAAATGAACGACCTTGCACTAAATTACTTTATGTGTAATTGGTTCGGTCTTTGCTGATGTTTTTTCTATTCATTAATTAATTGGACATACACTTGATTCATCCGCGTAATAAGATGACCGTAAACTATATTTTATTTAATAATGTTAATTTTTTGTCAGATCGCTGCTTTTAGGAACTTGTTGACAATTTTCTCGCATTTGTGTCTTGAATGACACTATCCAAGGTCGCGCAACAGATGCCAACAGCCGATCAGCTCCTGCAGCCAGTGCCAACACACTCACGAGTGTGCAGAAACGTGGGCCAAGATACGAAACGTCACCGCCGTTCTGCTCCTCGAATACAAAACTAATCCTACTGTGACCATGAGATGTACAAGGATAATTGAAGTATTTCTCGTTGACGAAGTGTGCGTTCTACGAAATGAAGAAACACTGATCCCAAGTTTGCCAAAATCGAGCACGCAATCAATCGTTTAATTATTCAATTTTCTAAAATAATATGAACTAAAGCATAGTGAGAACAAAGCAAGCAACAGCATCGTGCATCAGGTGGCCCAAATGAGGGCGTTTGAACGATAATCAGAGGCGGCGGTCCATCGTGGCCTGGGACTGCTACGTCCCAAACAAGTACCAAGATTACAAAGATCTGGTTTTAAATTAAACACGATTTTCTCGACATGATGACCAGGGCATGGGCACGATAGGAAAGGAATTATTTGACTCTGTCTCATTTGAGATAAGAAGGCACCGAACATATGCGTGCGTGACGCCCCATGCAGGCGTGGGTGACTTGCCTTGCGCTTTTGTGAGACATGCCATGCGTGTATGCTTGACATGCCATGTGTGCGTACGTGACTTGCAATGTGTGCGTGACGGGCCATGCGTTCATGCGCGACATGCCATGCATGACTTGCAATGTATGCGTGACGCGCCATATGCAGCAGCTGTGGCGCGTCGCTGTGATGGTTGACCCGGTGGGTGCCAATTGCCTCCTGCTTAACGATGGTGCGATGCCATGTGATGAGGTGTGTTGCGGGGGTGTTTTATGTTTGTGTTGTAGTCGTGTGTTATAGTGCAGTTATGAGGTGTGTTGCGGGGGTGTTTTATGTTTGTGTTGTAGTCGTGTGTTATAGTGCAGTTATGAGGTGTGTTGCGGGGGTGTTTTATGTTTGTGTTGTAGTCGTGTGTTATAGTGCAGTTATGAGGTGTGTTGCGGGGGTGTTTTATGTTTGTGTTGTAGTCGTATGTTATAGTGGTATGTTATATATGAGGTGTGTTGTGGGGGTGTTTATTGTTGGTGTTGTAGTCGTGTGTTATTGTGGTGTGTTGTGGGGGGTGTTGAATGTTGGTGTTCTAGCCGTGTGTTATAGTGGTATGTTATGAGGTGTGCTGTGGAGGTGTTTTATGTTGGTGTTGTAGTAGTGTGTCATAGTGGTATGTTGTGGCGATATTTTATTGTGATATGTTACTATAACGTTTTACCATGATGCGTCGCAGAAGTATGTTTTTGCCACATGTTATTTTTATATTATTGTAGTGTACTTTGATGATGCATTATTGAGTGTTTCATTTAATGGTGATGTGCTACTGTGATGCATCATGATGACAAGTTGTTGTCATGAGTTATCGTTGAGCCGTTTTATTTGCGTGTTATTTATGGTGCTATGATATGGTTCCATTTAGCGGAAGCCCATCCTGCATAAACGACAATCGCACTTTCCTACGAGGGCTACAAACCATCATTCACGCCGCGCAACAGACAGTTCATTTTTAATACGAAATAAATAATTCTGAGATTGATATAATCCAACAGTTTATGTTATTTTTTGTTAAGAGTCCCGTGGACTCGGCATCAACGCGCTCAGCCGCGATAGTTGCTATGGAGTTTTTTAACTATTTATAACTGCAATAACTCCCCTCATAAATAAGATACAAGTCTGAAATTTGGAATGCTGTCCTGGCTAATTATTTTCATTACACAGACATTAAGATAAACTATGTAAACTTTTATTTCAACTGTTATCAGGGAGGATAAAATTATGCACCCCGATGTTCGTATAGCGTGTGACTTTTCTGGCATTTTCTCGATTTACGTCGGTTTAATTATTTATTCTTCATTGATCGCTACCCCAAACATTTCTGAATTATTATTCGAGTATTAGATATATGCATTAGAAGCCCAAAGGTAGGTGAAACTTCCGTAGATGTATAAAGCACGACCAGACGTTTTGTTGTTGTCCCACGGACGCGCGGGACAGTGTGCAAAACACTCTTTGTGCATGCGCTCAGCTTGATTCATGGCCTGATCCATGTTATAGTGCACAAACATTTGTACAAGCCATGGAGCATAAACATATGTACAACATATTTAGCAACCATGAGGATGCGAATAAACGCAATCATTAAATACTACAATATACGATAGTTGAAATCTTCGGTAGAGTTATTGAAATCATTGAAGAATGATTGGTAGGGTAACATGGGGCAGCGAGGCCACTGCGGGTCATGGGCCCATAGCGGGTTTCTCGCTAAGTATGGCAGAAATTGGTCCGTGTTCTCTATCGCCGGTTGACAGTTTCACTGGGATGAAGTGTACGGATTTAAGTTTTGCTAAGTGTTTGTGTTATTAAGTTATTTGTGAATAACTGTTTTAGAGCAGATAAAATTTTTTTGTTGTTATATAAAACTGTTTTCGATTACTGTAGATGAAGCTTTTGAAATTACGGTGAATTATATTTTGAAAGTGATATTTATAGGGATAATTTTGAGATCAAGTTTAGACTATTAGCTTTTAAAATAAAATGTTGACACGATATAAATTGAAATGATACCTAGTGGGGCAACGGGCCCACGCTTGTCACGGGGCAAAGCGCCCATGGTGAAGTCTGGTGTTATACATCATTAGACTTGTCTCAATGACCTTTTCAAACTATGACTAGCTTTTTGAATTACAAATTACGCTTCATATTGCATGATTTTTTGATTTGCCGCCTCAAGGCAGCAGGTTTAGTTTCTAGTTATGCGTATTTATGACCCTTTATCGAGTTATTGACTCTAGCCTTGCCAAAAGTTGATTTCAGTCAACACCAATGAGCCAAAAGTTGAATAGTTTTTATGTTGTTGGCTGAAATCACGATTAGGTACGAATTCTCTGCACATAATATCTGGATTATGGACGAAACTGGAACGAAGTTTTTTCCTTATCAACTAGATATATTTTTTCTAGTCAAGGATACATTTTTTCGTGTCAAGGACGAATTTTTTATCGCAAGGATATATTTTTCAAGTCAATGTTATATATTTTTATGTCATGAAATATTTTTCTTCACGTCAGTGATAGATTTTGCCAAGAGTATATTTTTTTCAAGTTAAGGATATGATTTTTTGTGTTGTTAATAAATGAATGAATGTCATATTTTTTATTACATTTTTCATATTTTTAACTGTAAAGAGTTGTTTTATCTTTTTTAAACGAAAAATATGCAATTGTGGTAAAGGAGCCAAAGGTGGGCGCTTTGCCCCAAGCCCATGGGCCCATTGCCCCAGGGGTGGGGCAATGGGCCCATTTTGACATTTTACAAAATAGTGTTTCATTATTAATCAAATAACTCTATAGGCGTCTAATTCACATCATACATTCCTCACTAGTTGTACCTTTAAACAAAACAAAGAACCACCTCGTATCAATCAAAACTTCATCAAAAATTTAGTTTAAAAAAAGGGGGAAGGGGCGCGCTGCCCCATGTTGCCCTATTCGTTTTTATTTAAACGTTGTATTGTCCCTATAAGAAGAATTAACATCACATTTGAAATATGGTATCTTCTGTAGAAGTTGTTACCACTCCTCTACTGGCGTGTCTCATCGGAGAAATCTTTTTGAGCTACTAACTTACCATGACCATTGGAACCCACGTTTAAAACTCATCTAAATTTTAAGTTCTCTTATTCCGTTTGCAAAACTCCGTTTTTAAAACCAAATTCAGGCTAGACAATCGCAAAAAACTAGTTGTAGCTCGAGTTTAGTACAATCGCCGTACATCCATTCTTCTTATAGGGTCTGGAGCCTACTTTTTGTAGTACTCACATAAGTTCAATTGCTCAATGCAGGGAACCGTTGGTCTGTGGTATATGGAGAAGGAATCAACAATAGAATATCCATAGTGATATCATCATTTAAAGACAGGCGTTTGGAAGTTGATGTGTGTTATAACATAACGGACCAGGCAATAAGTCCAGCAGCTATCTCAATCAATCGTCAGCTATGGAAAGATCGGGTTCCAAAGGCCGGATCCCTTGTGAATCAAGTCACGAAAGTTCAAGAATCGGCAGCAGGCCATGGGCCTATTTCTTCAGCGCCGACACTTCTATTCTATAACATAGTGATGTCGGCAATTATAAACTTTTGTGTCGTCGGCATACATGGAGCACACGCTGGACACTACTTCCGGCAGATCATTTATAAAAGCAACGAACAAAATAGGCCCCAGAACGCTTCCTTGTGGCACGCCACTGCGCACTGATGCCCAGTCTGACACGGTTCCGTTAATACTGATACGTTGTCGTCTACCTACTAGAAAATCTCTTATCCATTGGAGTACGTTTCCCTCAATTCCCTAGGACTTCACTTTACGCAACAGTCGCTCATGCGGAACACTGCCAAATGCTTTGGCAAAATCGAGGTACAATGCATCTACTGGCTCCCTTTCGTCCAGCAGGCGAGTCCAATCGTCCAATCGTCATAGGCCAT